GCAGCCGATATTCGTGCGGTCGGTGAAGCTCTACAACAATGGGGATTTCCGGAGCAGCGCAGCCGACATGGAGCAGGCGCTGGCCGAGTACTACAAGGCGTATGAGGACTGCCTGGCTGGCTGTGAGGGAGCCTACGAGCTGCAGGAGTTCAAGGACTTCTACCCTGCCATCGCAGGTACCGAGGGCTGGGGGCTGGCAGGCTCGGGGGGGATTCAGGGGTGCCGCGCCTGACATCTCCCCCCAGATCACTTCGTGAGCGTGCTGCAGTGCAAGGTGGACTGTGAGACCGAGCTCACCCCCAACGTGGGTGGTTACTTTGTGGAGAAGTTTGTGGCCACCATGTACCACTACCTGCAGTTTGCCTACTACAAGTGTGAGTGCCAACAGGAGCAGGGAACGGTGCCCCGGGACACCGTGGGGTGCTGTGGGCCCTGGGTGGGCTGTCACCCCTGTGACACCTGGTGCTGCTCCCCGCAGTGAACGATGTGCAGGACGCAGTGCGCAGCGTCTCCAGTTACATGCTCTTCGACCCTGGTGACACGGTGATGCAGCAGAACCTGGTGTACTATCGCTTCCACCGCGAGCGCTGGCGCCTGCGGGAGGAAGACTTCGAGCCACGGCCGGTGAGGACCCCCCAGACCCCTCATCCCGTGACTCTGTTCTGGCGGAGGGGCTGACACAGTCCATGTGCCCTGCCCTGCCCAGGAAGCTGTGAGGTACCACAACCAGACAGCTGCCCAGAAGAAGATGCTGGAATTCGCCCAGCAGTACCTGCAGGCTGATGATGAGGTACCCCACGGATTTTGGGGTGCTGGGTGGGTGCTGTGGGTACCCTGGGGCAGAGCCCTTCCTTGGGCAGGGGGTCTGACCCCCAAACGAGCCCTGGAGCAGAGGCTGTGGGTGGGGCTGCCAAGCCCCCTTGCTTCCTCCTGCCTTCCCATGCTGCAGATGGAGGTGGATGGTGGTGAGGGGATGGAGACACCAGACCTGCCCTCCGACAGCGAGTTTGAGGGTGAAGGTGACTACGAGGAGGGCTTCTTCGCAGAGTGGTGGCAGGAGCCCAAGACCAAAGGGGACAAAGATGACCAAGGTTCCTGACACCAGGGCTGAGGGCCATGCTGCGGGGTTGGGGGGTTGCTGCCAGTGTCATGGTGCTACCAAACCCTCCTTGTCTGCAGAGATCCTGTGATGAGCCAGGTGAAGGGTCATCCAGTCCTGACAGAGCTGGACAGCAGTGGCTCTGCAATGCCATCCTGGGGACACAGGGCTTCAGGCTCCTGCCAGCCACTGCATGGAAACTCAGGCTCGTGGGGAAGGGCTGATCCTGCCCAGCATCCTGTGGCAGGGCTGCCTTTCCCATCTGGATCAGCTGCCTTGGCACAGCCCAATTCCTGACCAGCGTCACTGAACCTCTTTGCCTGACCAGGAGCTCCCCCTGGGCCACCCCTGTCCCCGATGTCCCCAGGAGCCCTGGTCAGCAGCAGTGCCCTGCAGCGCTGAGGTTTGCTGTGTCCCTCAGCTCCTCCACAGGATCTGTGGATGGTGCACTGGGATCAACCCCTGTGTTGTCTCAAGGGGTTTGGGGGCTGCCCCCGCTCTGGGCACAACATACGGTGCTGCCCCTGCCTCTCCGTGTGGCTCCTGCTCCAGTCCCTCCAGTCTCCCAGGCAATGTGCCAGCCCCCAGAGCCTGGGTCCCCTTGGACCCCTGGGCCCTGTGCTTCTGGGGGCTCCCAGTGTGCCACATCCCCGTGTCACCGCAGGACTACAGCCTGGCGAGGCTGTGCCACTCATGCCCTGCCTGTGCCTTGAATTTTCACCACACCAGCCTTAAGCTCCGTTAATTTAATATTTCCCCACTTGCACAGTTGCTCTTTTTTTTTTTTTAAATATTTACTGGTACTGAACTTTTAATAAAATCTGAACTGATCTTTTCACAGCTGCCTCGGGCTCCCTGGACTGGAGTGTGCTGCCTCCATCAGGGCGTTTTGGGGCTCACTGGGGGCTGTCGCTGGTGTGATGAGCCTGTGCCTGCCCTGGGCAGGAGGCGTGGGGCAGCCCTGCTCCTCCTCCCTGCTGCGTTCCCTCTCCGCATGGAAGTTGGCTGCGAGGACTGAAACCGAGAGGCTGAATCACAGCTTTGGCCTCGGGGCAGGGAAGGGACGGGAATGGAAGTTAAGGGGTGGCAAGAGGCTGCCAGCACCCCACCCTGCCCTGCCTGGACCCCCATTCCCTGGGGCGGTCTCAGCGCTGCAGGGCACTGGGCAGGGGCTGAGCCCCCAGACCCGCGGGCAGGGCTCATGGGGGGAAAGCGGTGGTTGGGCACCCATTGCCCCCCTGCACTGGGCAGGGCTGTGCTGCCCCTTGGGAAGAGCAGGGTTTGTCACCGATGGGTCACAGCCACCTCTGGAGAGCAGTGCCAGCTGGGCAGGGTGTGGCCGGCAGCACTCACACCTGGATCAGCAGGACACTCAGCCCAGCGCTGGCACCGAGGGACAAAGGCTGGTGGATCTTCCCAGCAGCTGGGCGAGGGTGGCACTGGGCACATGAGGCCTCCACCCTGCTCTGACACACACACCTGGCACTGTGTCGCCTCACCAGCCCCAAACTCACGTGGATAAACACGGCTCCTGGCTCCCACTTACCTACTGGCACTGCGAAAACCCCTGGCAGCCCTGAGCTGGGTGCCAGGGGACCCTTCCCTGCTCCCACCTGCAGCCACTGGCTGTGCAGGTGCCAGCTGGGCCCTGTGCTCCGAGGACGCCAGGCAGGAGCAGCAGCTCTGGGAGTGATGGTGTGTCTCCAGCAGTGGTTGTGAGCATGGCCACCATCCTGTAACCCACTGCCAGGCTGTGGGGCAGTGCCAGGGTGCTGAGGTGGGATGCAGGGCCGTGAGCAGGGATATGGAGATGGGATGCAAGGGGCTG